TCCAAAACAAGCAGTCACATGACCAATACATGTTGAACCAGGAACTGTCTGTGTGTGCCTGAGCTGCCGTACTGAATCCCTGAACACTAGTGCACTAGACAGTGTGCATGGGGAATGTTGCTGAATGACTGAACACTAGTGCACTAGACAGTGTGCATGGGGAATGTTGCTGAATGACTGAACACTAGTGCACTAGACAGTGTGCATGGGGAACGTTACTGAATCCCTGAACACTAGTGCACTAGACAGTGTGCATGGGGAACGTTGCTGAACGACTGAACACTAGTGCACTAGACAGTGTGCATGGGGAATGTTGCTGAATGGCTGAACACTAGTGCACTAGACAGTGTGCATGGGGAACGTTGCTGAATGGCTGAACACTAGTGCACTAGACAGTGTGCATGGGGAATGTTGCTGAATGACTGAACACTAGTGCACTAGACAGTGTGCATGGGGAATGTTGCTGAATGACTGAACACTAGTGCACTAGACAGTGTGCATGGGGAACGTTACTGAATCCCTGAACACTAGTGCACTAGACAGTGTGCATGGGGAACGTTGCTGAACGACTGAACACTAGTGCACTAGACAGTGTGCATGGGGAATGTTGCTGAATGGCTGAACACTAGTGCACTAGACAGTGTGCATGGGGAATGTTGCTGAATGACTGAACACTAGTGCACTAGACAGTGTGCATGGGGAACGTTGCTGAATGACTGAACACTAGTGCACTAGACAGTGTGCATGGGGAACGTTACTGAATGACTGAACACTAGTGCACTAGACAGTGTGCATGGGGAACATTACTGAATGGCTGAACACTAGTGCACTAGACAGTGTGCATGGGGAACGTTGCTGAATGGCTGAACACTAGTGCACTAGACAGTGTGCATGGGGAATGTTGCTGAATGACTGAACACTAGTGCACTAGACAGTGTGCATGGGGAATGTTGCTGAATGACTGAACACTAGTGCACTAGACAGTGTGCATGGGGAACATTACTGAATCCCTGAACACTAGTGCACTAGACAGTGTGCATGGGGAACGTTGCTGAACGACTGAACACTAGTGCACTAGACAGTGTGCATGGGGAATGTTGCTGAATGGCTGAACACTAGTGCACTAGACAGTGTGCATGGGGAATGTTGCTGAATGACTGAACACTAGTGCACTAGACAGTGTGCATGGGGAACGTTGCTGAATGACTGAACACTAGTGCACTAGACAGTGTGCATGGGGAACGTTACTGAATGGCTGAACACTAGTGCACTAGACAGTGTGCATGGGGAACGTTACTGAATGACTGAACACTAGTGCACTAGACAGTGTGCATGGGGAACATTACTGAATGGCTGAACACTAGTGCACTAGACAGTGTGCATGGGGAACGTTGCTGAATGGCTGAACACTAGTGCACTAGACAGTGTGCATGGGGAATGTTGCTGAATGACTGAACACTAGTGCACTAGACAGTGTGCATGGGGAATGTTGCTGAATGACTGAACACTAGTGCACTAGACAGTGTGCATGGGGAACATTACTGAATCCCTGAACACTAGTGCACTAGACAGTGTGCATGGGGAACGTTGCTGAACGACTGAACACTAGTGCACTAGACAGTGTGCATGGGGAATGTTGCTGAATGGCTGAACACTAGTGCACTAGACAGTGTGCATGGGGAATGTTGCTGAATGACTGAACACTAGTGCACTAGACAGTGTGCATGGGGAATGTTGCTGAATGACTGAACACTAGTGCACTAGACAGTGTGCATGGGGAACATTACTGAATCCCTGAACACTAGTGCACTAGACAGTGTGCATGGGGAATGTTGCTGAACGACTGAACACTAGTGCACTAGACAGTGTGCATGGGGAACATTACTGAATGACTGAACACTAGTGCACTAGACAGTGTGCATGGGGAACGTTGCTGAATGACTGAACACTAGTGCACTAGACAGTGTGCATCGGGAACGTTGCTGAATGACTGAACACTAGTGCACTAGACAGTGTGCATGGGGAACGTTGCCGAGTGGCTCAGTGCAGTTGTTTGATCATGTGATCTCCTGTGTTGTCTGATGATGGACGTGTCGGTGTCTGATTTAATGTTTTGTTTTTGCAGATCGAGTCGGAGTGGACAGGACAATGTAAGTATCAGTGTATCATGCATAATAACACAACACTAGTAATTCTGAAATAAAAGTAATGACACTTGTGTTTAGAAACGAGACAAAAACAAATGAACATTTAGAGCTGAAATACTCTGCGCCTGAAATAAAGCGTGTCCTGAAACTATTGCAGACATCTGAGTGAGAGTTCAGTTTAATCTTGCTGAAGCTCATCATCACACATGCAGAAACACAATCACAGCTCTTCTGTTCTCCCGCAGGTGAAAACAGCGCCACCGTCTGCACGTACGTCCCGCTCTGATTGCTTCATATTGTATTGATCTGATGATATTATGGGATGTTATGCTGTGCTTGTTGTGCTCCTCAGCTGCGGCGTCTCACAGGTTTTCTCTGGATCTGGAGTCTCAGGATCTCGACAGGTGAAGCAGGAAAACTCTGAGTGATGATTATTCAGCATGAACGAGCGGTATTAATGTGTGTGTGTGTGTGTGTGTGTGTGTGTGTGTCCTGCNGTGACNGTGAGAGCAGCTCTGGTAAGATGTGTTCTGGTTCAGGATCAGCTGGAGAATGGCAGCTGAACTGTGAGTCTGATCTCTGACTGATTCCAGATCTACACCTGAGGAAACTGCAGCACCACGAATGGCCACCAGGGAAAGGAGAAACCAGCGGCAGCTTCACCAACCACAGCAAACCAGCACAGGTCACACACACACACACACACACACACACACACACACACACACACACACACACACACACACACACACACACACACACACACACACACACACACAGCTGCAATGATGTTTGTACTGTACAGACTGTATATGCTCTAACACAGGCATGTCCAGACTCGCTCCTGGAGGGCCGGTGTCCTGCAAAGATTAGTTCCAACCTCAATCAGACACACCTGGGCTAGCTGATCAAGCTCTCACTAGACTTTCTGGAAACATTCTTGCAGGTGTGTTGTGGCACGTTGGAGCTAAAATCTGCAGGACACCGACCCTCCAGGACTGAGTTTGGACACCCCTGATCTAAACTCAACCCTCACAGCACACACTCTGCACACTCCTTCATTCTGCCGGGATTATGAGCTGAATTCCTAATGGGGACCAAAACCATCAACACACAAGGTCACAATATTACTGGTATTACTATACTTGTGGGGACATTTGGTGCCAACAATGTAAAAAATACAAGCACACACACACACACACACACACACACACACACACACACACAGGCCTCATGGTTAGGAGGTAACACTCTCCCAGATCTGATACCCAACCGAGACGTTCTCTACCAAAACATAGAACCCCATATGAACAGTGTGAGTGTGTGTGTGTGTGTGTGTGTGTGTGTGTGTGTGTGTGTGTGTGTGTGTGTGTGTGTGTGTGTGTGTGTGTGTGTGTGTGTGTGTGTGTGTGTGCAGGACCTGGAGGAGCAGAACTGGTATGTGGGAGCATTCAGTCGAGTGGAGGCCGAACACGCTCTACATCTGGTCAATCGGGTAAAGCACAAACACACACACACACACATACTTACACTTACTCTTACACACACACACACATGGATAGACACACAAACTCACACATCCTCAAGCAGACATACATGGATACACTTTCACTTCACATCAACACACACACCTCTCAGTGTGTGTGTGTGCCTCCTGATGTGTGTTATGTGGTGGCGGTGTGTCTTCTGCCCTCAGGAGGGAGCCTTTCTAGTGCGCGACTGCTCTAAGAACACTACCCATGAGCCTCTGGTGCTGGCGCTGTTCTACGACAAGCGAGTCTTCAACATCCAGATCCGCTTCAGTGACGAGACCAACAAATACACACTGGGCACGGGACTGCGCACCAATGACGTGAGTCACACACACACACACACAAATACACACACACAAACAAATACACACTGGGCACAGGACTGCGCACCAATGACGTGAGTCACACACACACACACACACACACACACAAACAAATACACACTGGGCACGGGACTGCGCACTAATGATGTGAGTCACACTCACACACATAGATTCACAAACACAAATACACACGTGCACAGACACACAATCCCTCACATGTATGCACACACATATACACACAAATACACACACATGCTCACACAAAAAAGTTACACACACAAAACACACACACTAGTGTGAACACAGAAACACACTCACTCACACAGACAGACATGTGCACGCACTCACAATCTCACACACGTACATACATACACATAAAAACACACACACACAATACCTCATACAAACACACACACATGAATTAAACACACACAACAGACTCTAGATGTGTGCAGACAGTGAATGCTCATGCTGGTGTGTGTGTGTGTGTGTGTGTGTGTGTGTGTCCTGCAGAGGTTTGACTCGGTCACAGATATCATCAGGTTTCACTCCATCTTCCCCATCGTGCTGATCGACGGACGCAGAAGCGCAGCGGAGTGTGTGCAGCACCGGCAGTGTGTGCTGATGTACCCCATCACTAAAGAGGACCTCACACAGCTGCTCAACTAACACACACACACACACACACACACACATGTCTGAGTAACACATTACTGAGATCTGTCAGCCTGACGTCAGTAACACACACACACACATTTCTGAGATCAGCCTGACGTCAGAAACAGACACACACAAACACACACACACCCTTCTGAGATCCGTCAGCCTGACGTCAGACACACACACACGCACACTCTGAGATCAGTCTGACGTCAGAATCAGACACGTTCATAATCAGACTGAAGTGCATTTAAAAATGTGAACACACACATTATCAGTGCACATGAACCCAGTTTAGCAGGATACACACACACACACACACACACACACACACACACACAGAGCCGCTTTAGCAGATCCATTTCAGTTTTATTTGATCACTTTTTACATCTGATGACCTTCATGATTAATTTAAAAATAGATATGATGCTTCTGAAGCTTTCTAGGAATATACAGCACATAAACACACACACACACACACACACACACACATACACACATCCAGAGCTTCAGCTTCAACAGTTCGACTCCACAACACTGAAGCGCAACAGTTGAGCTGAACACAATTCTACAACAGTAATATCAACTCTGTACTGGTTTGATGGTTTGAGGTAGATTTAAGCAGATTGAACACAAGTGAACAGTGTGTGTGTGTGTGTGTGTGTGTGTGTGTGTGTGTGTGTGTGTGTGTGTGTGTGTGTGTGTGTGTGTGTGTGTGTGTGTGTGTGTGTGTGTGTGTGTGTGTGTGTGTGTGTGCGCGTGCGTGCGTGCGTGTGTGTGTGTGTGTGTGATGGACAGACTGTTCCCTGAAGGCAGCTTAACACACTCAGGATTAGTTTTCAGTGGAGTAATCCAGATCAGTGCAGTCCGGCTTTGCTGGTGCCCAAATCGCTCAGTGTAATGGGCGGAGCCAGACAGAATCTGCGGATATTTGTTTTGGGCCATTTGTGTGCAGAATTTTCTAAACCATCTGCAGAATTATGCAGAATCATTCTGAGAGTCCAGTAAATAAAAACATCACAAATAACATCTGTAAAATGGTTTTCACAACGCAAACCCACTTACAAACTAGATCTGCTTGTTTGATAAACAAAGCCAGCTATTCATATACAGGTCAGATCATATTACTTTACAAACTGTACTGTAAAGAAATCATATAAAAATTTGCATATGTCAATAATGTTACTGAAATAAATATAAAAACTGAATAAATGTATATTCACACACATTTACATATGTAAATATATAGATCAATGATGGGCTAAACAATCTGAGGATTTCAGCATGTGCACAGATTCCGTACGGGCCTCTAGTAATGGGTTATGGATGTAATAATCATATAAACAATCAAAAGTAATTTTAATAAATCATCCTTACTGAAATCTTTGGAGGTGTTTTAGCATTTAGTGACCTTTAATTTGGAGCAAGAGAAGCTGTGGAGTGGCTTTATTGCACTTTGCTCATGGCTGATTCTCTGTCTGTGATATCTAAGCCTGAACATAACAAGAACATATACTGAACATAACCTAAACATATCCAGAACATAACCTGAACAAATCCAGAACATATACTAAACATAACTTGAACATATCAGAACATAACCTGAACGAATCCAGAACATATACTGAACATATCCTAAACATAACCTGAACATAACCTAAACATATCCAGAACATAACCTGAATGAATCTAGAACATATACTGAACATATCCAGAACATATATTGAACATATCCTAAATATTGTTTCACGGTGGCGCAGTGGATAGCATGATCGCCTTACAGCAAGAAAGGCGCAGGTTTGAGCCTCAGCTGGGCCAGTTTGCGTTTCTGTATGGAGTTTGCATGTTCTCCCCATGTTGGCATGGGTTTTCTCCGGGTGCTCCAGTTTCCCACACAAGTCCAAACACATGTGGTACGGGTGAATTGGGTAGGCTAAATTATCCGTAGTGTATGAATGTTTCCCAGCTGTGGCTGGAAGGGTATCTGCTGTGTAAAACATATGCTGGAATAGTTGGCGATACATTCCGCTATGGCAACCCCAGATTAATAAAGGGACTAAGCCAAAAACAAAATCAATGAATAAATGAATATCCTACATATTTCCACAGCATAACCTGAACATATCCTAAACATAACCTGGACATATACTGAACATGCCCACAACATAACCAGAACATAACCTGGCCTGGATCAGGTCAGCTGTGATACAAAGAGCGATTAAACCCAAGCTACATTAACGGAGCCTAAAACTCAGGATGGGTGCAAACTGAACTGACTAACACTGAGTGGATAAACGCAAACATTCTGTTCACAAAAACACTTTGACTTCTGAAATCCATCTGAATCTGTCAACAGTGAAGATGGAGGATTGAGCTAAATTTGCTGCAGAGATTTACACCAACCCTGATGAGCTTAGACAAGACTAAAGCTCAAGAGTTTAAATTCCTCAACACTGACTGTTCTTCACATGAAGGTGTGAAAGTGTACAGATGTAAAATGAGGTGGTATGGTCATCACAAATGAGCACAGAACATCATGAAGCGGTCATTAGTGTTGTTTAAAACATGACAATAACATTTACACATTGGCACAGGTGAGTTTTACAGTCTATACATATAAGAACATGTTTGTTTTGTTGTTAAGAGGGACGAGGTTAAGTAAAGAGTTGAAAATGTTCATTTCCCAACTGCAACTCGTACATGGACAGTCTTGTATGGTCAGTTTACCACCGTCCAATCAGAGAGTCTTATTTACCATTAAACTTAAAAACTCAGGGTTTCTAAAAAATAAATATAAATTGGCACCAAGATAAAAACCGTCCAAGTTTGAAACGTCAAGGTGCGGTTTTCACGCCAGCAGTTTCTCTGAAACCCCGTTTAACACCAACTCGATCACCTGGTAATTCTGTCCATGAACTTTCTTCAGTTTCATCTTGAGCGAGGGCTGCTTCCTCTCAGTCTGTGTCTGCTCCTGATCTGTGGAGCAAATCCACTTATAGTTCTTCAGCGTCTGCACGCCCACACTCACGGTCCGAGCGGCAGGATTGGGGTGGTTCAGAACCACCACCGGCTGGTTTGGTCCGGGAATCTTTACAAGTTGATCGTCTCTCAGAGGAGTTATCCTCAGTGCTTCAGTCGAGGTATGAGAGAGACCCATGGATGACCTGCGCTTTTTGTCTTTCCTCTTTTCTTTTTTGTGTTTTTTCCGCGGTGGCGGCTCACTGTCGGAGTGCCTCTCTTCACTTGCGCGAAGATCTCTCTTTAATATCAGCTTGATGGCCACTTCAGGACTGCCGGACACGTTCTGTTCTCGTAATGTACAGTAGAGAACCGGCCGTGCCGTCAGACGCTCCTCTTGCACTGGAGCTTCCGGAGGCTCCTCGACAGATTCCAACAAGGAACTGGGAATCCTGACCAGAGACACTTTGGGATACTTGAGGGGAACACAGCCGTGGGGCTGCGAGATCCGGGCAGACTCCGCTTCTTTATATTGGTGTGGAATATCGTCCTTGTTTGATGAGACGAGGCCCTGGTTTGGAATAACCGATGGTGATGGAGACAACTGCACATCATCAGGATTTTGTTTTAAATGTCTTGCACCTAAAGTTTTTCCAGCTCTTTTCACTCGAGCCTGAGTCTTAGATACTGTGAAGTCTTCAGTGTTCCCGGGCTCTGTCTTTGTTTCTTGGAGGTCCACAGAAGCAACTTTGGGTTTCTCCTCAGGTTCTTCCTCCTTTTTAATCAGAATACTACAGACCAGCGATCGATCTCCACTTCTCTCTTTGTCCTTTGGCTCTTTTGTTGTGACCGTCCAGCGTTGTGTTTCTGGAAAGCCCTGTGGGAGGCTTTGTGTTAATGTGGGTGTAGGACAGAGAGAGAAGACTGAGGAGATCACGGGAAGACCTTCAGAACTCAGTTCTGGACCATCCAATTTGACTCCATCATGAGCTGCCGCTGTGCGCTTGATCCCTGAATTTCTGCCTTTCAGGTTGATCTTATTCCTGGCTGGTGTTTTTGGGGAATGCTGTAGTTTGTGTGCTGAAGTCTTTGTGTTAGGGCTTGTGGAAGTCTGCTGCTGTTTGACTTGGTGAAATGTTGAAGATGTTGATGTACCGACTGGACACTCTTTTGCAGCAACCTGACATTTGAAGGATAGTTTGCTCCCAGTAGTATCTTGTGCAGATCCATCCGCGGCACTTCTCTTGTCCTGTGGGACTGCATTCGGTGGGATCAAGCGGAGCTCCAACTCACGAGTCCCATTGACGTTTTTCACCTCCACCAATTCCACCAAACAGCCAGCAGGAATATTGATCTCCTCTGGACATGACACGGTTAATGGTTTGTTGTGCTGAATGGGCTGGTTAAGTGGTGCCAACAGTTCCACCTGGACATTGGATAATGGACTTGAAACCTCTGTTGATGATCCTACAAGTGTTCTGGTGTTTGTCCTCGTCTGACTGCTCTTTTCTGCAGGCGAGTGCAGTGGACCTCTGATCGGAGTTCTGGAAAGTACTGCAGTTTTCTGGATCACAGAGTTGGCCCCTGTTGTGGACTGAGTTGCTCTCGGATCCACCTGAGCGTTCCTCTTGGACAGTGGCATATTAAGCAGTGGTCTGAGCGCAGTGTTCATTTCAGTAGGCAGTCGCACCTGGACTCTGGGAACGATTTTTGAGGGCAAACCTTTCTCAGGAACACCAACCCTAGGGCTTTGCTGAAGTGGTTGTGTTAAAGTACTTTGGACTCGTGGGAAAGTGGCTATCGGGATGGGCTTTTCTGGTACAGCTCTTCTGCTAGCCACCTTAATTTGACTAGCGGCATTGAGTGCAGACTTAAACAGGGTGCCGTTTTCCTCTCGCGATCTTAGCACAACTTGTGGAGGTCTGCCTGTTGTGTGACTTGCGCTTGTAGAACAGCTGGGAACGCTACTGGGGAACTGCGTCCGAGAAGGTGCAACTGTTGTGTTGGAGATGCTGGGTGCTGTGGTAGTGCAGGTCACCCGGCCACAGCTACTGCTGGGTTGGCTCATTGGTTTAGTAATAACAGATGATTTGTTGACTCTTGCTTGACCTCCACTAGGGGGTTCTACATGGGAACTGGGAACTGAAGACTGATCGTTCCTTTTCAGCCAGCCGGACATCCAGAGGGTTTCAGGGACAGACGGATGATCGGAGTCTTGGTCCATTTTGAACACTTCTTCCGCATTTTTCTTGTGTATACGCAGAATGTGTTTCACCAAGTAATCTCTCCGCACCGCTCCATACGAGCAGAAGCTGCACCTGTACGGGTACGAGCCAGTATGAGAGACGATGTGCTTCTGAGACTCTGTTTTTGAATAGGAAACATGGCTGCAGAGCACACAGGAGAAGGTCATCTCCTCATGATGGGACACGTGCCTCTCGAACAGCTCCGTGTCCTTGGTGGAAAAACGACATTTAGCGCAGCACAGGCGATCGATGTCTTTTCTGTTGTTCACAAATGACATGAAACTTTGTTGAGAACGCATGGTTCGACAATCCCACAGTCCAAATGTTAGACAATTAGAAATCCACACAGATCAAGATCCACTCCTCTGGGCTCAGAGTTTGAACATACCTGGACAATGGGGAGAAAAGCAAGAGTGATCAGGAAATAAATTCAATGATAGCAATAAACATCAGTTGATTTATATGAGACAATGTCATCATTAGCTATGCTGCTATTTGGCACTACACATATCTAATTTTCAGAATCTGGATTTGTCAATTATTTGTGTCATTACAACATTGTTAAAGAGGTATTAAACCTGCCAAGTAAACTGAAAACACTGCCGCATCTTTACTGAAACATGTGAAGACCCTTAACAGCCTAACTAGTTGGACTAGTTTCCCAAAACTGCAAACCGACTGCGGAAGATCCAGCATGAGCAAATCATACAAAATTGTACGAATTAGATCGCAGGAATTCATACGAATTAGCCACTATATGAAAAAGTTACGAATTGCTGTGAGATTGCGTTGGAAGATCTGGCACTACCAACATGGCTTAA